TTTAAAATTTGTCCAGAATAATTGGAGATTAATGGCCAGTTAACTCCGTAAGAATGGACTAATTTTAAACAATACGTAAAATTAATAAAAGAAGATTGGTTCAGTAAAATTGCAAAAATTGCAATCCTCACCATATTCTTTTATTAACGGGTTAACTCTGAGAATCAATTTCTCATTCACCCTTTACCATTTTTGGCGTAATATTTGTCAAAACATTTATCTCATTTAAGAGAAAACACGTCCATTAATTAACGATTAAAACTGTTAGTGGACCTATTGACAAATATACCCTAGTTGGTCCATTTAATGCCTATTAAAAATGCCAAAAATTCCAACAGTGACAGTGATGCAGCATCTTCTCTGCAGCATAGCTGGTTGTTTTGTTTGCATAGCTTATGTTTGGTGTTATCCGCTGCGCCCCCACGAACTTACAGCCACAACCATATCGCATTTTATTTATTCATTATGGATGTTTGTTTGTATGTTTGAACGAATGTTAGCATGTTATTCGCTAGAGTATGTGTGCGACACTTACCATAGGTGAGATCATCACATCTAAATCCCTCATAATATTAAGCATGTGCCTTCTGATGCCTACCCACTCGTCGTTACCAATTTTGACCAATCAACAAGACGCCTCGTTGACATTGGTACGACACAAAATCCGTAACAATGAATATTGAGTGGATCCCGGGTTGGAGTTAACTATGTTTAGGTAATGTATGAATAACTTAGAGGCACATGGTTAAGTTAAGAAATAAAATCAAATTCATCTAGCCAAAATTGTAAAGTGTTACAATTGAAATTAGTTCCTACCTAAAACAGTTTAACTATAGGGCATACAAATCCCAACTATAGTTAGATGAAACAAGAATGTAAGCCCAATATAAGATTTTATTTAAAACAACCTAATTGTAATTGGATTGTAATTGGATTAAAATTAGAAATAGTTCCTACCTAATTAGTTTAACTGTAAAACATGCAAGATGCAAAGTACAACTTTAGTTTAATGTAATATGGACCTTGGCCCAATAAGATATCTCTTTAAGAGAAATCTCAAATCAATAGGTTACGTACTTGAGGGTAGTTAATTTGTTAAAATAGTGAAAAAGTTTTTAATTAAAGACCTAATTAATTACGGAGATTCTTGATAATATCTATTTTGCAATTTATCTATAGTAATGTAACCAGTTCTGCAAATTACAAGTAACTCCTAATATAAAACCACTAAATTGATAAGTGTTGAATATAAGTTGTATGTCTTCGAGGAATGAATTGTGTGTATGGCGCATTAGAATGTCTTAGAAACATTATAATGATTCCTTGGATTCAGAATAGATCATGCACACTTCAAAAAGCATGCATGAATAATTAAAAATCTTAAAATTATATTCAATTTTATTTAGCAAAGGAGGTTCCCATCTTGGTTGGTTACTCTCAAGATAATTGAATTTGTCAAACACTTGAGATAATGAGATTCCTATGTACCAAAAGTTGGTTATAGACCTTTTTAGCAAATGTTGCTAGAGATGAATAGTCATCTTGTCACATTTATGCTCGGTAAATGACAAAATCGCTAAGAATAATTGAACATGTTATATCTATAACTAACAAAACTGGTGTGAAGAAGAAGTAGGGACCAACAAATGCGTCGGTGGTGAGGATGTGAGCACTAGCGGGCTTATATCCAAAACATGTCTTCATCTTCCAAGCCCATACCTCAAATTTCTATTATGGTAAACCCGCAAATAAAAGAATAACTACGTAAATAAATATCTATAAGAAAGATTAAAGGAGGTGTGACCTTGTTGAGTCATAAAATGTCATATTTTATTCTCTCATTTCTTAGTACTTTTAAGATGTTTTATAGGCATCTTATACCAAAATAATCATATTTTCTAATATTTAGTATTTTAGGCTATTGTTTACGTTTTATAGATAAAATGCATGATTTTAATGATAATTACATTTTTCAATTACTTTAGAGAAGTTTTCATTAGCAATATTTTAAGATATATTTTGAAGGTGAAGATAACAAAGTCAAGGCACAAAAAGAAAATAAATGAGGAAAGAATTAAGACTCAGCCGTGCAAGGAAACAGAGGAAAGAGTTTGGATCTGAAACGGAGTTCAATTCCTTTCTCCTAATTAAACTCGAAAACAGTGGACTCTCACTATAAAAAGAATCGTGAACAGCTACGGAGAGGGAGGAGAGAACAGATCGGAGCAGAGCAGGTGCCGACCTAGGGTTCCGACCCTAGGTCCGGCGATGGTGGAGACGACCATGGATTCTGGCAATGGAGCACGGCAGGGACGGCTTGGGCTACTGTTGACGGCGATTCCATTGGTCCGGCTCTGAGCTTAGTTTGAACGCAGAAGCTAATTCAGGGAGCTTTCTTCCTTTCTTAATTTTATTACTCCCTCCGTCCTAAAATTAACTTCCCGTTTGACTTTTCACGGTCTCCAATGCGATACTTTGACCATTAATTTCTCCATTTTTATATGAATATATATTATAAAAATAATATATTTCAAAACTATGTTTCAAAATAAATCTATTGATAATAAATTTATATGAAAATTTGATATATTTTTTCCGTAATACACCGTCAAAGTTTTAAAAGTTTGACTGTAAAAGTCAAAATGAGAAGTTAATTTTAGGACGGAGGGAGTATGTTTTTTTAAAGTTAAAAATGGTATTTCAGATTCTTTATTTCCCAATTTATGAATTTGATATCCAATATTTAAATATGTTTATTTTCAAATCTAATTCTCTGTTGAATGTTTAAGTTAAATTATAAGTGACTAATTGTTTGTGTATTGGTGTTGAATTGTTCAAATATGATTTATTGATTTATTATTATTGTCTCTGAAATTATAAAACCTTTTTAGGCCAAATTATTTGATAAAAATGATTGAATCTTTGGTTTGATTGTTCTTGTTATATAATATGGCTTTGAAGTTTTAGCCTTTGTGCTACTGTCAAATCTAAACTCGAAAAGGTGTTTGAAAACTGGTCTTTGTTTAAACTTGGATTAGATCAATTTAAGACGGCCGCCTAAACTCTAATTCCCATTGACAGTTTTAAGATCTTGAGTACGTTTATAGCTGAGATTTTTAAAACACAAGTGTCACCTGGTTAATACTTAATTGGCTCCCACCTGGTTTTTATTAATCAGAGTTTTCAAACTGGCTATGTTAAAAGATATAGTGTACTGCATAGTTGTTAAGTGATGTTTTCCAAAAAACTTAATGCTCTATTTTTAATTAAATTTGGGGGTAGGTCATTGGGTTGTTAAGAATAGTAGGGTCTAGAGTTAGGGCAGGTCTTAACATAGGCTATATTAGGGAGAATAGGGAAGAACCGCAGGTGGACCTCTTCTTCAGCTTAACCCTGAGTTTAATTAGCAGTTTAATTTCAGAATCAAGACATAATTAATTAGTTAATCAGATTTGTTCAGTTTATTTTCTATTAAAAATTATAAGTATTTTCAAAATGGTTTAAATTAATTATTATTGTCTACGTTTTTATAAAGTTTATTGTGTGATTGTTTTTGTGTTTGTTTCTCCCTGAGTGTTCTTCTGAGTTCGGTTTTCTGTTGTGGTTCCATCTCTTATCTGTTATCCTTATCTTTATTTTATTTGCATTTTTATATTTTAAGAGTTATCATTAAAACCCCCCATATCTTTTAGTTTAGTTTTAGTTGTTAGATTTTAGTTAGTTTTTAGTCAATAAAAGTGACAAAGTAAACTGATTCTCACAGCCTAAAAGTATCTTTTTTCGTGGGATCGACACTTACTTGCCCTATCTATATGTTTTAATGAATATTAATTCATAAAGGGGGTTAAAAGTTAAGGTAAATAATAAATTAAATTGTAGGTGCTACGACACGCCTAACAGACCTTCATATTGGGTATTTAGTTATAAAGGTAACTTAGTATACACTTTTTAAAATGGGTAAAAGATAATGAGACATGGGTCTCACAAATGTTGCATAATAATAGACTATTAACCAAAAATATCGTTAGAGTACACATTTGATTAAGTGTTGGAGTTTTGGTCTTATAACTCAACCATATCTATTGAAATAGCGTGAAATTAAAATATTGTACCTACAACCAGAGAAACAATCATCAATGAGTCTTGTTGGCCTTGAATGTTGTATCCCGTATCTGTTTTGATGTGCCAAATAAATATTCCAAAGGTACTAACATTTTTTACAGGAAGAACCAAACTCCCAACCTCTCCTAAATTGATTAGCGTCACCGAGAAGTACTCCTACGAGCATAGAAATCAAAATGTAAGGGTTTTGATATATATAATGATTCCAATATGCCATTGCACTTAAAATACTTTTTCTAAACACTTCCAAATATATGTTAGTTGGGGTTATTTTGAAAAAAGGATCAAAAATCAAGTTTTGGAAAATGAAAAAGGACATTACGGTACCCCTATACTGTTTACACGTTATCTAGGTACCGTCGGTAACAACGGACCGGTAGAGTGTCCCGTTTTGAGCTAGGTTCCACCATTGCTGTTTGGACTTTGGGCGGTACTCCTAGCGGTAGGCCGTACCATGGCCACGGTACCAAGGTACCGTATGGTACCCCCTTATTGTGAAGGGTACCGTGACCGTTGGCAATCCTGTAGCTAATTTTCAATTCAAATTTAAATTACCCTCAATCACTCCCCAATAGGGTTGTAAATGAATCGAATATTTTTTGTTTGATTCGTGATTCGTATTCGTTTAAGGTGATTCGTATTCGATTTTTTCAAATATGAATACGAATACGAATTTGAATAAATATTCGAATCCTTATCGAATACGAATATGAATCAAGGGTATTCGATTCGTGAGTTTGACAAATATATTCGGGATATAAATCTAATTATACAAATTATACAAATTATATATATATATATATATATATATATATATATATATATATATATATATATATATATGAAATGGTTATAAAATATTTTAAAATTTAAATGAATTGAATATTTTTAAACGAACCGAATATATTTAAACGAATCGAATATTTAAACGAACCGAATATGTTTAATATATTAAACGAACCGAATACGAATCTTAAAGAATATTCGAACCGAATTCGAATTCGAATCCGAATATCACTGCATCTTAACGAATATGAATATTTTTCATGAATATTCGATTCGATTCGGTTCGTTTACAACCCTACTCCCCAACGATCCTAAACGTATCCTACTCAATTTAAACCTTTCTAAATGTTATATAAACTCCCTCTAAGTCTCATTTTTTATACAACATCTCTTAACATCCTAAAGGCTTCTTATAATGTTTATGAGCGTTCTTAAGCTTTGTTCTTCATTTGCATCACTCTTATGAGTTTGAGCTTTTATTACTTTTATACACTCACACACAAGGACATCTTTGATTCATTATTTTGTATCTTACCCATAGGCTATTAGTGTTGTTGATTTATTATTTTGTTCTGCTTCTACCCAACTCAAATTATTTATTCTTGGTAGAGAAGCAACTTCATATAATTCTTACTTTGTAAAAGGTGGGGATAGCCTTTAAATCCCCATTGTGTTAAAAGGTTGAAAATAACCTTAAATTCTTCATTATAAAGCGGTCGAGATACCATTGTAAAATCTCGTTACTTGTTGGCAAGGATTATTTGCCAAATCTTGTTTGAGTCTTCTTAGTGAAGCCAAACAAGTTAGTATAGGTTAAATCCTTGAGGATGAGCCTCGAGCTACTAGAGTAGGTAGTTCTTGAACCAGTATAAAATTGGTGTGTCTTGCTCCTTTCTTTGTTATTATTTTCCCGGCTCGTTTTCCGCCTTTTACTTTTGTTTAAGTTTTTACTTTGCAAAAATATTTTAAAGAGCCTAATTCACCCCTCCCCCCTCTTAGGGTGTAAGCGAATATCAGAGTCTCATGGGCAACAATGAACCCTAAGTTCAAGAAATGTTAATGAGCTATAAGATCTAAATGTTATCTGGTAAGATCTTAAGCAAATTTCTTGGAGTTATTTCATCTCCTTAAGAAAATCATATATACTATAATAAATTGTATTATTGTTGTTATTATGTTTATTGTGTTAAAATGAAATGAATATTTTTGGACATGTTAATTGTATGAAAATTAAATTTGTCAAATATTATTTAAGGAACTATATATATATATATATATATATATATATATATATATATATATATATATATATATATATATATATATATATATATATATATATATATATATATATATATATATATATATATATATGGGCCGGTTCCTGTAAGAATGGACCTTGTGGAGAGAAATGAGAATAAAATCTAGCCTTTGGATCTGATGCATCGTGCGGCTTAGATTGCATCCTGCGCTCATATTTTGAGATAGTGCATTTTCAAAAGATTGGGGTGCATTTCGACATGGTGCATTTTCAAACCATTTTGGTGCATCTAATTTTGATGCAATCCTGACCCTTAGATCTCACAATCTAAAGCACCAGATTCATGGGTGAGATGACACTTTATGGTGAGATGACGCAAAGCTCACCACATTATACTGCAAAACTCACCAATGACCAATGTAAAGCTCACCTGGAAATAAGGCAAAGCTCACCACTTTGAATACCAAAACTCACCTTTTTTTTATTTTGAAAATTAAAAAATTAAAAAAAATAAAATAGCAACACCGGTCAACCACCGGTCAGTGGCGGCGGCTCGACGGAGGTGGTCGGCGGCGGTCGGCGGCGGCGGAGGTGGTTGCCGGCGGCCGGCGGAGGTCGCCGGCGGTGGTCGCTGGCTGCCGGCGGCGGCGGCGGCTGGCGGAGGTCGGCGGCGGTGATGGTCAATGGTCAAAGTCTAGTTAGCACCAATTCCTTTGATTTTTTTTCAAAAAAATTTCAAAGTGTTGAAAAAATATGGTGAGCTTTGCCTTACAGTTTAGTGAACTTTGTAGTTGTATTTAGTGAGCTTTGCATTGGCCAATGTGAGCTTTGCGTCATCTGGCCATAGCATGTCATCTCACCGTAAGGTGTCATCTGACTGGAGTCAATCACTATATATATATATATATATATATATATATATATGAATGAATGAATGAATGTATGTATATGGTCACTTTGCCGGAAAATAAATCAATGAACAAATCCCAAACAATTTATTAAACTATTCTCCCAGCTTTTCACGCATCATTCAGTAAAGGAAATGGGGAATAGGGAAGGATTCTACAATGGAATCCCTTCCATCTTCACTGAAGAAGAGGGAATCTTGGAGAGTAAAATGCACTACTCATCAGTAGGAAGGTTCAAGAAGGAGCTGCATCCATCCATATTAAATGCTTTCCTGCTAATGGTGGGATTTAGCTACTTCAAGATTAAAAGAATCAACACAAGGGACACGCTGTTCACATTCAAGAACGAAGAAGACTACACCATGTTTTTACAGAAAAGAATATGGTACGTTAATAGAAACAATTTCTATGTTTTTCAGTGGACTAGAGATTACAACCATAACATATGGACTCCCCAATTTTCCGAGTCTGGGTTACATTGGACAATCTTCCGCTGCTTTTATGAATTGCACCATTGTTGGGTAGACTTGTTAAATTAGATGATTACACTATAAATAGGGATAAAAGGGAGGGGACAAGGATTTGTGTGGAGATGGATATCTCTGCACCTACCCCAAAAAAGTTACACATCAGAATGGGGGGTAAGGGTATAAATACAAACTGTAGTTATGAAGAGAAGCCCCAATTCTACAATCAGTGTAATCATCTTGGGCACTCTAATGAACATCATAGCCATACTTAGATTGTTCAACCCACCGGAAAAGGTCCCTCCGGCAAGGATACAGGGGGCAGTGGCAAAGGGAAAGATGGATCCTGGAAAACTATTAAGAGCAAAAGGACAAAAGGGTAAAAGCTTGGCACAGGACCCCAAAGAAGATAAAAAAGTGACAGGAAAGACCCAAATAAATAGGTTTGCTCCTCTAAACCTCATGGACTCCATTGACAACTTGTTCGATCTTAGCACTCTAGTAAATATGTCTACTTTTGAATTAGACATCTCTGAAACAACTACTGGACCCACAGAGATCAAGTGAAATTTTAGAATTGAGGGGGAATTCTTTGATATTCCCATTCCTTATGGAGGCAAAGGACTACTTTTACAAATCCAAAAGTTGTGGAAATGTCAATCCTCAGGTCTCAGAATATGGGAGGGAGGATATGAACATGAACAATAAACAAAAGATGGTTTTCCTTGGATGTCTGCCTTAACCACCACTCACCTGAAAAGGGCTTGGCTATGCTAGTAGACACTTTGAACCTTCCATCCCAACACATAGAAGTTGAAAATATGTTTGAGGCAGGTAGACACTCTGATGATGATAGCAGCAATGATGTCATGGACAAATCCATACTAGAAGCAAGGCAATTCAAGATCCCTACAGCAAATGTAACACCATTATCAGTTACAAGGATGAAAAAATATAAAAACGCAGGTCCTCCGATGACTATTATCACGAGAAGTCATAAAGGATATAAAGATTTCAAATACATAAGTGATATAAAGGTTTTGAGAGTTTTAAAACCCTGTAGTAGTATTGAGAGTAAACTAAACCTCGAGAGGTCAGTTTATTCCCGTGTCGTCTGTATGATCGGCTCAAGGGAAAGTGTAATAGGACTAGTCAGGCAAGATTTACTTGTTGAATCAAAAAGTTTTCAATTAGGCGAAGATTAAGTGGTGAACTGTTTAACTTTTCAGTATTAAAAAGACAGGGATGTAATTCTTGTTCGGGTGATAGCTTTCTAAAGGTTACTTTTATTAGCTGAATCTACTTTTACTTCAAACCTTTTTACCAACGAGTAAATATCCGTTAAGTATTTACTCACACAAGAAAATAAGAGAGTAAAGTAAAATAGAAATCACTCACTCACACATGGGGGGGGGGGTTAGTTTTTTCTAAAAAATTTAACAAGAAAGAAATTAGGAGTAAAGAAAACAAAGAAGAATCTTAAAGGTCTTAACAACATTAAAAGAAATAAACACAAAATAAATTGAGTTTTATACATTTGGAGAAAGGCACCATGGTTTAATTCATGAGTATTATAAAATCAGATTGTGTGTATCACCTGGAAGGATAAGGAATCACATAAGAACCCTGAGCTAAAACACTAACCGCCTTACACTCTTATTTTTTAGATCACCTTACACCCAACCATAAGTGTTACCCCTACCCTCAATGACACTCTGTAGACCAACCCAAATTCATATCATCAAATGAACATTCAGACTAAGCATGTTTACTCAATATCTCAATACAACACCATAAGCAATGTCATATAATTAATGAAACAATATAAGAAGGCCAAATATTTCAAATTAGTGGCGAACTAATCCAAACTATTGTTTGGCACTGGGTTCTACCACTTTTAGCAAAAGAGTGCCCTCTAGATGGTAGAATACCATTGGTAGTAGGGGTAACCTAATTTACCTAGTCACAACCAATTAGATGGTCCTAGCAACCTATAATTCATTCACATTTCCCATCCAGCTTATAAATATCACACTAAAATCATAGAGACACACTTCAACACATTCTCATCATTCACAACATCATAAACAAACCAAGGTTTAAGCTCCGTTCCGTTCAACTTATTTTTCTGATCTGATTTAATTTTTTGTAGTTCTGATCTGATTGGATCTGATCAGGTCTGATCTGATTGAAACTGATCTGATCTGATTGGATCAGATCTGATCCGATCTAATCTGATCTAATTAATTATGATTTGATTTAAAATTAAAATCAATAATTTGATCTGACTTTATAATAACTTTTGAAAATTGGAATGATAATTCATATTATAATATAATAATATATTAATATTGTTATTTTATTATTATTTTTTAATGAAATAAAATTAGTTAATTCATATATTAGAATAATCATTCATATTATAATGTGATAATATTTTTTCATTCATATTTTATAATGTAATAACTTTAGAAACTAAAATTACAAGTAGCAATAAAAATGTATTTTAAAAGTAGAATTAGATTGACATTGTCAATGTATTTTAAAAATAATTTTCTCGACGTCTAATAATTAAGGATTACTTTCTCAGTTTTCTATTTAACTTGTTTCTAAAGTTTATTCTTTTTAATTTTTAAGAATAAATAATAATACCTAATAATAATAATAATTCTTGATTGGATCTAATATGATCTGATTTGGTCTGATTCGATTGGATCTGATCTGATCTGATCTGATCTTATTGGATCTGATGTGATTAGATCTGATCTGATCTGATTAGATCTGATCTCATTTTAATAAGAATAAAAAAAGCAGAAAAAATAAGTTGAACGGAACGGGGCCTTAGTTTACTACTCACTCATTACCGTCACTGATGCAAGCATGTATTGAAATATGTTTTCAATCATCATTAAAATGCAAAATGAACTCAAAAATTCAAGCACAGCTCAATAGACAATAAATCACCACAAGAAACCAAGATTAAACGTTAAAAATTCAAACTCAGATGCGAAACAACAACGCAATCATGCAACAGGTAAGATTATAAAACAAAAGCATATGATTTCACAAAACAACCCTAATCGTAAAGATCTAAGCAAAGGATTGAAAAACTGTAGATTTCTTTACCTATTTTGATGCTATAACAAACCTGGACAAGATGTGATGCACCTCAACCAAACACGCTCACTCTTCTCTCTCTGATTATCTTGGTCATGAGTCCTCAACCACTCTTCTCAAACTCCTCTCTCTATGGGGTTAATGTGTGCGGCGTGTGTTGGATTCGTCCCCTTGCACACTGAAATGGTGGTATCTATATTTTTCAGTCCCATTCTTTTTTTGGGTCCGAACATTCCACTTTGGGTATTCATGTGGCCAAAAAACTTTATCCAAAAATTCTCCAAATAGATTCTAAATCTAATTAAGGAAAAACAAGACCTTTTAAGTGTAAAAGTATTTTTCGTATTTATGTCTTCTTTCTACAAAATTATTTAAAAATTGTAGTCTTTTTAACAAAACATGTTAACCTAACAGGTTGATAAGACATGAAAAATCGGTATTCTAAAGCTTCAACACGTTACATTGGCAATATTCAAGCATTGCTTTCATGCCTTTGACCGTATTGCAGAATTGGTGCTTGAATTACATAAATTGAGCATTCTTGTTGTCATGGAATAAGCCATGGATCGCCTTTCGTAGTTCATGCGTGGTGTCGTGTGAGGTGATGACTAAGGTGGCAATCGGATCAACCGGATCGGTTTCGGGTTGGATTTTTTCGGTTCGGATATCTTTCGGTTATATGTTATAATCGGTTCGGATCTGTTCGGATCGGTTAAATTTCGGTTCGGATTTGATTTCGGTTCTATACATTTTTCGGTTCGGTTCGGTTTCGAGTCGGTTCAGATACGGTTCAGTTATAAATCGGTTCGGATAGATTTCGGTTCGGATACAATTTGAGTCGGATATATTTCGGTTTCGGGTCCAGTTCGGTTCGGATATATTTCGGTTTCGGATCAAATATATTTTGGATATATATTATTTTCTAATCTTCCCCTTTTGACTTTTTAGTCATATTTTACAAATTTGGACTACAAATTATGAAAACATATATATTTAATTATGATATAATTAAATTGATTTTAAAATTTAGTTTTGAAATATAAAAATTTTCTCACATCTACTAATATACTTATGTATATAAATGAAAGGATAAAAGATAAATTCAAATAGTCTTATGTTCCATTTGAATAGAATTTGGTAAAAATTGAGTAAAATTGGGTGAAATTAAGTGAATTTTATTCAATTGAGTGCAAAATTTGTAAATTGTTGAGTATATTTGGTTGAAAATAGAGAAAATTAAATTTAATAGAGTCAAATATAATTAATTTTACACCTAAATGTAATAGTGTAGATCAAATTTGAAAATGATACTGCTAACACTAGCATTTAATTTTATTGACTAATATTGAGTGAATTGGTTTGAAACTAATCAAATTAACTCTCAAATCAATAAAATTTATTGTAATGAGATGAAATTATGATAAAATCTAATTATTCCATACAATTTATCATATATATATTCCTTTCGTCCCAAAAAGAATATCACACTTCACTATTTAAAAATTACGAAAATTTTATTTGTTTGTGCGTTATCATTTATATGTATAACTTATCTTTAATTTCTACATATAATAAATTTAAGGCATAAAAATTTGTACTTTTTTTCAAGAAGATAATCCATTTTATGAGGGAAGGAGCAAGTAATGTAACTAGTTCAAATGGTAAAATAAAAGTAAAAATTTAAAAATATAATATGCTTATTGAAAGGTAAACATTGTTCTGAATTTATCAATTTTAGTTCTAATCAAGTTTGGATATTATCGGTTTAAGATCTAATCGGTTACGGATTTTATCGGTTTCGGGTTTAATCGGTTCGGATATTATCGGTTTCGGATCTAATCGGTTTCGGATTTAAATCGGATATGAATTATTTAGTTCGGTTTCGGTTCGGTTCGGATCATTTCGGGTTTTCGGTTATAGATCGGATCTTCATTTTTCAGATCATTCCGGTTTCGATTTCGGATATTTCGGTTCGGGTAATCGGTTCCGGTTCTGTTTTGCCAGGTCTAGTGATGACGAGATCGAAAAATTCGTGGGAGACTATAGATATAGAGAATCTATCCTTGAAGGAGAGCATCAAATTGAACCCATTTGACGTCGTCGACATCGGATGGTTTTGCAGTGCAGTGATGAAGTCAAGAAGATTAATTCTTCAAACAAGGAGAAGAAAGAGTGGGCTACATCTTTTTTAGTTTTGTGCAGAGTTTATTGAGTTGAATAAGTATATTAACTTCAATATGTATAGATGGTAGTAAATGCAAGATGATGAGAATTTGGTGTGAAAGAAACTTCGAATGCCATGGCTAAGACGAAAGGCAGAGACAATGCCAAGAAGAGGTCAACACGAGAAGGAGGGATGAAAGAGGAAGATAGACTAGGGTTCAGAATTAGGCTCTGATACCATGAGAGAGTGAATAAGCTCGTATATTTTCTTTATAGGTATTTTATTTTGAAGGATATTTTTTTGAGGAATAAAAATATAAGGGCAAATACGATATATTGCTTATATTAGATAAATCTTTATCAAAAAATAATGAGAAGAAAAATTATAAAGAAATATAATAGAAAAAGGTGAAAAAAATGATTGGAGGGTATATTAGTTAGATAAATAATATTATAAAAAATAAATCTAATAAAATTATATGTGTATCAATATGTTGTGTCATTTTCATTTAAATGATTGTCAAAATTTACTAATTTTGACAAAAAATAAATAAAAAAAATAAATAAATACTCAAGAATGAAGGTAATACTCTGTATATAACATACTCCCTCCATCCCGGAAAAAGTTCATCTTTCTTTTTTCATCCGTCCCAAAAAATACTTCCATTTTCCTTTTAAAAAGTCACTTTTACTCCTACTAATTCTTAACCTACCTATCACATCACACTTTTTCTCTATTAATCTATCCATCGGGTAAATTTCACCCTTGGTATACGAACTTTCATCATTATTTCACTTCGATATAAAAACTTCAATTCTTATCACAAAAGTACACGAACTTTCAATAATATTCTTTCACCGGTGGTCCAATAGGCGATTTCTAGGTCACCTTCAGGTCATTTGGGGTCAAATTATAATTTTATAAATTTAAATTTTTTATTTTGACCCCACCCTTCCCTCCCTTTCTCTCTTTCTCTTTCCCAGCCAGCCCCCCCACGCACCCATTCTTTTTTCTTCTTCTTCTTCTTTCTCCCCCACGCACCCATTCTTTCTTCTTCTTCTTCTTCTTCTTCTTCTTCTTTCTCCCCCATGCACCCATTATATTTGTATGGTTCATACAGATTCTTATTTTATCTTATTTTTTAACACTAAAAATAGTGGAACGGACAATTGTGATCCAGTAGCTGTTTCTAGTTTTATCAAAAATTTAGGCGTATTATCAAAAATTTCACAGAAGTCCAGTTTTTCGCCGGTGCGATCGGTGAAACGGTTATTCCTCTCTCTCTCTCTTCATTGTCATCTGACTTGTTCTCTCTCACCGCCAGGACTACGGCGGAGATCACATAAGAAAGCAGACGAAATATTCTGTCATCTCCATCTCCGCCATCAACGCCGGCCAATTTGATCGGCGATTCCTAGAGGTTATTCTCGCTGGCCGGTCACATTCCGAAATGTTTTAGATTTAAGACTTACGTGTTTGGAAAACCGAATCCGATTGACAAATTTGATCCTGCTCATATGATACCTCTTTTTTATGAGAAGTTAACATATATATATGTATGGAGTTCTGGGCATTCGATTTCATGTATGTGTTGTGTTGTGTTTCTCCTTGTGATTTTGTGCAGTAGGATTTCTTGTGGCAGAAGGATATAAGTGATTCATTGATAGACTGGTAGATTTGAATCTCGGTAAAATGGAGGAGAAGAAATTTCCAGCTATGAGGGGGTTCTGGTTTCCTCCATAGCGACCTCCACAGAGAATTTGCACTAAAAATAGAAGAAGAAGAAGAAGAAGAAGAAGAAGAAGAAGAAGAAGAAGAAGAAGAAGAAGAAGAAGAAAGAATGGGGTGCGTGGGGGGTGAGGGGGCTGACTGGGAAAGAGGAAGAGAGAAAAGGGAGGGAAGGGTGGAGTTGTTTCCCTCCATGTGTAAAATTGGTGTTTGTGATTCCTTTATATGTAAATAAAATATACACTTTCCCATAAAATATCAACCGGAGTAGCTTACTTCGTTTAAGCTTTAATATTTAATGAAATGGAGTAGCCAACTTCGTTCCAAATAATTATTTATGGAAACAGAATAGCCAACTCCGTTCCAAATAATTATTTATGGAAACGGAGTAGCCAACTCCGTCCCTCTTTTAATCAATTTTTTTTTCGTTCCTCAATTTTTCGTCCCTCTTTCACACAGAAAAGAATAATTATTTTTGTTCCTCAATTTTTATTTAAATCATTTTTTGTTAAAACAATTTTTTCTTTATTTCTCATTATTTCATAAATAAAATAATTATTTATTGACTTTAAATAAAGCACCATACACCGAAATTAAAATAAGAAGTAAATCACAACAAATTTATTGATCGAGTACATATAATTTATTCATAAGAATAAGGTTACAAAATACATGCCATAACTAATTTATATTGTGAAATACATTTTTAGCATATTCTTCATCGGCCCAAACCGCATCACACCTATGGTCTCCCGCTTTAATTACTAAAACATCTCGTAAAATATGTCCCGGATGTACATCATATCCATTTGCTTCAAGGATTACAACATAAGAGTATATTCAATTAATAAAAATATAACAAGAAAATTATACGGAGTATTAAAAAATCATGAAGTAACCACTTATACATACAATCTATGACTAAATAAATATTTTACAAAAACAAACTTATAAAATTAAACTATATATTTGTTAATATTTTCACAAAATTCAAAATCTTGTATAGACCAACTACAAAATCATTGGAACAAATTTAACCAAAAAAAAAAATACCTTCAAGCACGAAAACTGAGTCCGATCAAGGTGGGGTCGGGTCCATCGGCACTCTCCTCGTTTTTCCTCGGCTACTCTGGTCAATTTTCCCCTGCGTCGTCGTTCTCTCTCCCTCCCTCGTCGTTTTTTTCGCCTAGGTCTGCTATAAAGGGAAGTAAAACCGAGTGGGATCATAGATCTGGTTTTGAAATTGAAGAGACACGGAGTAGCGTACTCCGTCT